CATAGCTTGTCGCCATTCAGGATGATCAAGTGCCTCTTTCATATTTTTTGGAATAGTAATAGTGGATACAGAAGAAACAAAAGAAAAATAGGAAGGAGACAATCTATGGTAGCTAAGAAAATTGTAAATGGGATGTGGATTATGAGTAGAGCGAGTACATTTGCGAATGACAATGGGCCAACTTGAGTCATCATTATCAGGAATCGTGATATCAGGGGATGATTGAGAAGGAACTGCTGAGGAAGACTCATCTTGGGACATGGGACTGATCATTTGGCTCCTGTGTTGATAGGTAATAAGAGGCAGTGATGAGGATTCCGGTGTATTTTGTGTGGAATTTTGGGTGTCAGGAGGAGGAGGTACAAATGGCTCCACTAAGGGTATAGGTAGGACATTTTGGACCGAACTAATATCTTGCATAGAAGAAGGGAGTTGATTCAAAAAAACTGACATTAGCAGACATGTAGTACCTCTTGGTTTCAGGAGAATAACACTGATATCCTTTTTTAAGACGAGAATATTCCAAGAAGACACATTTGATGGCTCTAGATGATAGTTTATCTAAACCTGGAGACATATCATGAACAAAACATACGCAACCAAATACACGAGGAGAAACATGAAAGAGTGGCTCCTTTGGCAACAGAATAGAGTGGAATTTTATTGTCAAGAGAAGAAGATGGCATTCTGTTAATGAGAAAACATGCAGTAAGAATAGCATCTTCCCAATGATGAACATGCATATTTGCACCAAGTAATAAGGTACGAGCAGTTTCAACCAAATGTCTATTTTTTCGTTCTGCTATACCATTTTGTTGTGGTGTGTGAGGACAAGTAGACTGGTGTAAAATGCCTTGGGAACTTAAGAGAGTGGAGAAATCAGTAGAAAAGTATTCTTTGGCATTATCACTTCGTAAAACTTTACTTTTCCAAATTGATTTTTGATTTGGTTAAGGAAAGACTTAAAGATAGGTAATAATTCAAAACGGTCTTTCATTAGATAAATCCAAGTACACCTAGAAAATTCATCAATGAAGGTAATAAAATATCTATAGCTAAAGGATGAGACACAACTGGGACCCCAAATATCAGAATGAACAAGAGAAAAGACAGAGCTACATCTAGATTCAGAACGTTTAGGAAAAGAGGACCTAGTATGTTTCCCTAGTTGACATGATTCACATTCAAAATCTTGAAGAGTTTGAAGTTCAGGAACCATTTTTTTTAATCTTGACAAGTGAGGGTGCCCTAAACTTTCTTGTAATAGTTTTGGAGACAAGGATGCAACACAAGATACAGATGATTTAGTCCCAAGGTAGTATAAGCCTCCAAATTCATATCCTTCGTCAATCTGTCGACCCGTACCACGTTCCTGTATAACAAAAGAGTTAGCATTAAAGGTTACTGGACAATTCAATAATTTGATTAATTGACTTAGGGAAATGAGACTAAAGGGACATGAAGGAACAAAAAGAACAAATTTTAAGTTTAAAGACGGGGAAATGGAGATTTGACCAGTTCCTTTAGAGGCTACTTTAGATCCATTGGCTAAGGTTATGAGATGAGGAGTTTAGGAAATGAGAGAGAAGAGAATAAAGAGGTATTACCAGACATGTGATCAGAAGCACCTGAGTCAATAATCCATGGATTTTGACTTCCCACAGATTGTGAAATGCAAGCGGTTGATGAATTTGGGGTTCTTGATGACTGTGCTAGATTACTGGATTTCAACCTCAAATATTCTTGATATTCTTTGTGAGAGAACTTGGGTTCAACCATTTCAGATTTGGAAAAATTGACAGTTTTGTCAGGAAAATCGTGCAAAGAATAGCAATCATAGCATAAGATTCACGAGTAGAAAATCGTCCTCAGGAAAATCTGAGGACGTCCTCTACCTCCACGTCCTCCTCTAGTGCCGCGACTTCCTCTTCCACGAGTAGAAATCATAGCAAAAGATTCAACAAGTTCTTGATTATTTTTTCCTTTGAGAGTTGGAACACGAAACAGTCTTGTAGTCAAACTTTCCATAGAAGGAACTTCTTGTCCAATTAAAATTTAATCTCTAACATGGCCGGAAAAGTGGTCAGACGGTGGCCGGACGGTAGCCAGAAAGGCAGAGCAGGACCAACCTGCTCTAATACCAAGTTAAGAGAATAAAGAGAGTTAAAAAGAAATTTATAATTCAGTGGGATGTCATTCTCCACTCTATGATCTCATATATATATATATATATATATATATATATATATATATATATATATATATATATATATATATATATAGGATTATAACATTTAAAACAACAACTACCAACTACTAACCATCAACTACTAACCACTACCTAATAATAATTCTAACAAACTTAGATAGACTTGGGTGGCCCAGACAATCATACAAAAGTTTAGGAGCAGGAGAAGTAAGACAAGAAACCGAAGAACTTGGATTCAGATAGTATAGACCACGTGATTCATGTCCTTCTCCAATCAGATGACCTGTACCATGTTCCTGCATAACAAAAGAATTGGAATTAAAGGTTACAGAACAATTCAAAGAATGAATCAATTCACTTAGAGAGATCAAGCTATAAGGGCAATTAGAAATAAAAAGAATAGAATTTAAATTTAGAGATGGCATTAAAGGAACTTTGCCAACTCCTTGAAATTTCACTTTGGATCCATTAGCCACATTGATCAAGTGAGGAATTTTAGGATAGGATATGAAGGAAAATGAGGAACTATTATCAGATATATGATTCGAGGTACCTGAATCAAGAATCCATGGGTTTTGACCCTCCACATATTGAGAAATGCATGTTGTTGAAACACTTGACATTAAAGAAGATTGACCTTGACCGCTGAATTTCCCAGATTTAAACTTCAAAAATTACTGATACTCCTCATCAGAAATCTTCATATCTAACTTTTCAAATTTAAATACATGGGCAGTGATATTCTTGTCAGGAAAACCATGCAAGGAATAGTAGTTTTCTTGCGTATACCCCATCCTCTTACAATAGGAGCATTAAGGATGAATTTTCGTACTACCACGTCCTTTTCGACGGTTGCATCCTTCCCTTTGACCACGAGAAACAACCATAATAGAAGTTTCAACAGTCTCCACTTGATTCCCATCTGTAAAGATTAGGAACCCGAATCAACCTCGTGACAAGATTGTCCATTGGCGAAACCTAATTGCTAACTAGGATTTGATCATGCACATGATCAAAATCAGAATGCAGACTCCTCAAAATTAGAACCATATACAATTTATCAAGTTTGAAGTTTAACTCCTCTAAGGTATTTGCCACAAGAAACCTTTTTAATTTCGGCCCTAGCTTTTGCAATATGAGCCATCATGTCAGGGTTGGTCTGCTTGAGTGATGTCACTCTTTGAGTTGCATCAAAGAGATGTTGAATATCCTTAGCAAAAATGTCTTGAGCCTTTTTCCCAAAAGAAAGAACAGGTTTTGAATGACTTGAGAAGCTCAAGAACTTCTGGTTCCACAGACTGTCCCCACTAAGACCTTTCTATAGCAGAAATAGAGTTTACATCCTTCTCTAGATGGTCATGATACCCTTGACCTAGAAACCATAGTTCAACATATGCATATGACGATAAGTAATTTTTCTAGTTGAGTCTGGCACTGGTTATGGTGGGAGTGGCAGAGAAGGAGAAAGCAGTGGATGAAGCCATCTGAACCAGAGAAGATAGATAAGACCAAAGAATAGAGGTACCCACGGGTCCTTTCACTCAAAGTTCTCAAAAAAAAAAAGTAAGGGCACCACTGGACTCGAAGGATGTCGGCGAGTTGAACGGACATAATCGATCGTGATTCCGTTCACTGGAGGGCGATGTGTGGGACACTTGCACCTGAGAAGACTCTTTGGGGAGGCTGTGCGTGACATCACATGAAACACTTGATGAAGGAGCGACTTGCAGGGGTGGGTCGTGCTCCTCGAGGCACACAAAACCCCACCTTCGTCAGTCCAAACGGAGACGGTGGTCGGCTGTGACAATGGCAGATGGTGGCCCATGATGGCCGGAGATGACAGAGGTGAACGGAAATCAGTGCAGGATCTTACCCGCTTTGATACCAACTTGAGAAAACTTATTTAGGGTTCAATACAGTGTCGAAAGACATTGTTACAATTGGATTTATAGAAAAAGAGATACAACGAAGAGGATATGGGCCTCAGCCCACATCCTTAACCCTAGCCTAAGGAACATACAAAAAGAATACGAAAAGATAGATAAACAAACATGTCTCAACAGTTTTTTAATTTTTAAAACTAAAAAATGAAAACTGATAAAAATGTGTTTTTGTTTTCATTAATAATATATATGCCATGCCACATGGCTCATCTTCGTCATTGTGAAATTGTTGAAGTTGTACTTCAACTTATGCTATGACTACTGGTTGCAGTTGGCACCATTGTCCTCCTCCATTTAAAACAATTTTCAAAGTAGAGTTATCAAACAAGTTTTATTTTCAACTTATTCTCCAAAAAAAATGTTCTTTAAAATTTATTTCTAAAACTGTTTTTAAAAACTAAATATAACACTTATACACATGTTCTCTTTTGTCCTTTTCCATTTTATTTGTTTAGTTTCTGCTATTTGAAATTAAGACGATATCTGAGCTAACAACTGGGACATATTGTGGGAAGACTGAATAGCATATTTGAGCTCAGTTAGATATTGAAGGTGAGGTAGTATTTTGAACAATTGTGAAGTTATCATAATTAGAACAATGAAAAAATTCAACTAAACAATGACATTTATGGAATATTTTTGCTTGCAGTTTAAGCTCTACAATTGAATTAGTGCAAGGTTTACCTGTTCTCTTTTCTGTAATTGTTTATCACATTATTAGCACTAAATCCCCTCATTTGAAATGTTTATAACCATTCAATGTTTAATGTGAACAGAACTATAAAGGAGGTAAAATTACAGACAGTGAGTTAGGTGATATTGTTTGGAAACAATTCATTCATGGAAGGATGACGTACTTGCACTGGAATAAAGGAGAGGAGATGACCCCTACTATTGATGGAAAAGCAGTAACTCTTGTTCGGAAATTGCCAACTGTAGACCCCACGTAATTGCTTATTAATCTAATATAATATATACTATCCTTTTGTGCAAATCTATAGACTGTTATTGTTAGTTGTTTGATGCGAACCTTCTAAAGCTAGAGATATAATATAAATGCTTTACATAAAAAGTTTCTATTTGCTTTTATATACCTTCGTTAGACTCTTGGTATGGTGTGACATCTATTTGCTATTTTAGAAACTTTCAGTCACTTACTTTCTTTCAATGTCTGTTGAGATAGACCCCCACATTTTATTGAACTGGTCCATCATATATTTGTCATAGAGAACACTTAAAAAGATCTTTTTCTTGTGAAATTATAGTTTACACATTGTGGTTTGGTGTCGTTGTTAAACATTTGTGTATTTAAATTTAAGTTCACCCATGTTATTTGGACAACATTAAATAGCATGCACACACTATTTTGGTGCCATGTCCATCCGGGACATCTGAATGGCATAGACATGGATATTTAAAGTTTAAATGTTGAAAAGGAAAAAACATATAGAGGTTGAGTCTGTTTGAAGCTTTTAAGCAGTTTTAATAATAAAAAAAGAATATGAGGCAGGGGGATGCTTTTGGCTTGTGCCATTCTCATTTGCTGAAACTTAATTTACTTTTGGCACATATAATGCATATGATGATTGTAGAAAGGGAGATAGACATGTGCAGGATTTTTTTATTCATGTTGAATAGTTACAATTCAACAGTGTACATACATACATACAATACAGTGGATGGGGCTACCTGTGAACAAGAACCTTTTCTACTGGCAATGGGGAGATTATCTCTAGGAGATTGATCCACTCAGGAGGAGAAGCTGGAGCAGGAAGTGAATCAGTAGGGGCTTCTGGAGGAGCATCAACAGTAGTGTGAGATCTATGATGATAAACCTATGAGGCTTTCAGAGGAAGATGTGGAATAGAAAAGGGAAACTTTAAAAGAGAGTGACATTGTTGGCAAAAGTTGTTCGACAGAGTAACATTTATGACCTTTATGAACACTATAATATTGAGGAAGGTGCATTTTGATTGATCTTGTTGACAGAATGCTGCATTGGAGGATCCCTTACTGCTCAAGCAAAGTTTCATCGAACAATGTGAATAATATTAAATGGACAATCAGGAATGTATAACACAAAATCCAAAGAAATAAGAGGTTTGCACTACCTAGAACTCTAACAGCCTGTTTGGTGTCATCAACCAAATTGATAGGAGGTAGGATGTTGGACTAATTAACAGAGAGTAAAAGGGAATTACTAAACATCTTATCAAGGTCCCAAGGGACAAGATATGACTGAGATAGACATTCAATAATTATTAACGGAGGAAGAGGACTACTATGCTACACAATACCTCAAATAGTCAACACAATAGATAGAGAAATATCTGCTGAAAAGTTTTCGTTCATACTTTTTGGAAACGATTTTGTATATTCAGAATTGTTGTGTTAAAGTCTATGGGTACATGAATAGTCTGATGCCTTTATAGTGCTTATGTTATGTAGTTAGGGAATTGCATTTGTATTTACTACTCATAAAATTTGAGGGTAATCATTACTTTGGTTCTTGAGAGTATAAGGTGTTGACACTTTGGGCCCCTAAAAGTATTGAAATTCAAAAAGGTTCCTGAAAGTGTGATTCACTGTCACTTTAATCCTACCGTTTGTTAAAGTTTAAAGTTTGTGCCCATGCGACACATTTACTGTTAATTTGGTATCATCACTTATTATTATTTTAGTTTCTAGAAGTACTTTAAATTTTCAATTTAGTCTCATGTTGCATGTAAATTATTAGCATAAATCTCACAATTTTTCCGTCACTTCCATTCCATATGTCTTATATTCTTCACCTTCCTCTCACCGACTTTGTAGTCTATCTTGATTTTCACCTTCAACATCTGCTAATAGTTTACATGTAACTTGGGACATAATTCAAAATTTGAAAGAACTTTCAAAAACTAAAATGACAATAAGTGGTTGGTCAAGGTCAAAGTCAAAGTGACAGCAAGTGGTTAATGATGGCTTTCCCACACATTCCCTTACACCCAAAGCTCTGGGCTTGGACCATTGCAATGTAGGTTGTCCAATAATTGATCTAGGATAAAATTCTAGTACTATTTTAGAATTTTGGACTTATGGTCAAACTGAACTTTACGAAACTGATTCATAAGATAAGTGTTGAATATAGGGAAAAACTGTATAGGGTTAATTTCCCTTGTGTCTTTACCACACATAGGGCAGTGTATTTATAATAAAGAAAGGTACTCCTCAAAAGAGTAACAGAATACAAATAGGGTAAATAAAAAGATATTATTTGATATTGTGATTAACAATATCTAACAATATCTCAACAATATCAAACAATATCAACTAATATCTAATCATATCTAACACTCCCCCTCAAGCTGGAGCATACAAATCGTATGTGCCTAGCTTGGTACAAAGATAATCCATCCTAGGTCCCAGTAAAGACTTAGTGAAAATATCTGCTAATTGATCACATGAGTTAACGAACTCAGTCTTGATGTCTCCGAGTCATAATCTTTTCCGAATAAAATGGCGAGTCAATCTCAATGTGTTTAGTCCTCTCATGAAAGACAGGATTAGAGCTTATATGGAGAGCGACTGATTGTCACACACTAGTGTCATTTGAGTGACATCTCCAAATTGTAGCTCTTTAAGCAATTGCTTGAGCCAAATAAGTTCACAGGTAGCCGAGGCCATAGCTCTATACTCGCTTCTGCACTGGATCTTGCCACAACACTTTGTTTCTTACTTTTCCATGAGATCAAGTTACCACCAATGGAAACACAATACCCGGATGTAGATCTTCTATCGGAGGGAGATCCTGCCCAATCGAGCATCCGAATAGCAGACAACTCTTGTATGATTATGGGAGTCATACACCAAACCTTTTCCAGGAGACTTTTTGATGTACTTCAATATACGGATGACCGCATTCCAATGATCTTGACAAGGAGAATTGAGGAATTGACTCACCACACTGATCGCAAAGGAAATGTCGAGGCGAGTAACTGTAAGATAATTTAATTTTCCAACTAATCTTCTATACTTGTTCGAGATCCGACATTGGCTTCCCCTGATTTGGCAAGAGTTTGGTATTAGGATCCATGGGTGTGTCAACAGGCTTTGAATTCATCAACCCAGTTTCCTCCAAAATATCCAATGCATACTTTCTTTGAGATATAACAATGCCATCAGTAGATTGTGCTACCTCAATACCCAAGAAATATCTGAGTTTGCCAAGATCTTTGGTTTGAAAATGGTGGCAAAGGTGTTGTTTCATCTGAGAGATGCCATGATGGTCACTACCTGTAAGAACAATGTCATCGACATACACTATCAAATAGATACATCCAGCATTCGAGTGACGGTAAAAGACTGAGTGGTCTGCCTCACTTCTAGTCATGCCAAATTGTTGAACAACGCTGCTATCTTCAATGATTTTCTTCAATGGTATGAGGATCGAAAGCCCTCCAGTTCCACTACTTCTGTTGCCCACACAGGTACATCTTTTGCTGGTCTGACTCATTCTTCTTCTATTGGCCCTTGGGTTCTTGACTCAGGCGCCACCGATCACATCACTGGTAACAAATCCTTATTTTCCTCTTTCACTTCTTCTCATAATTTACCCTCTGTTACAATGGCTAATGGGTCTACAACTTTAGCTCATGGTGTTGGAATGGTTACTCTTTTTCCCTCGTTGTCCATTGATAATGTTTTGTATGTACCCGGGTCCCCCTTTAACTTATTATCCACTAGCCGTCTAACTCGATCTCTTGATTGTGTTATCTCTTTTACCAAAACTTTTGTTTCCCTACAGGACCGGAGCGCGCAAAGAGTGATTGGCACCGGATGTGAGTCACATGGACTTTATTATCTTCAACCTTCTCCACATGTTGGCACAATTATGGAGTCTCCTTCTCTCCTTCATGCTCAGCTTGGTCACCCCAGTCTGCGCAAATTACAGCAACTTGTTCCCAGCTTATCCCAGTTGTCCAATTTGGTGTGTGAGTCCTGTCAGTTAGGCAAACATAGTCGTACTTCCTTTTCTCGTAGTGTTTCCCAGCGTGCTTCATCCCCCTTTGCCTTAGTTCACTCTGACATTTGGGGACCCAGTCGTGTTAAGTCTAATTTAGGTTTTCAATATTTTGTTACTTTTATTGATGATTTCTCTCGTTGTACTTGGTTATTTTTAATGAAAAATCGGTCTGAGTTGTTTTCTATATTCCAAAACTTTTATCATGAAATTAAAAATCAATTTGGTGTCTCTATTCAAACTTTTCGAAGTGATAATGGCCGTGAATATCTTTCAAACTCGTTTAAACAATTTATGGCTTCTCATGGCATTTTTCATCAAACTTCCTGTGCTTATACCCCTCAACAAAATGGGGTGGCTGAGCACAAGAATAGACACCTTATTGAAACAACCCGTACTCTTTTAATTCATGGTGAGGTTCCTCAACATTTTTTGGGTGATGCTGTTCTTACTGCCTGTTATCTTATTAATCGTATGCCCTCTTCGGTTTTAGATAACAAAATTCCCCATTCTATTTTATTTCCTCATGACACTCTCCATCCTTTACCTCTGAAGGTTTTTGGGTCTACCTGTTTTGTCCACAATTTTGATCCTGGTCATGATAAGTTATCTCCTCAATCACACAAATGTGTTTTCTTAGGATTTACTCGATCCCAAAAAGGATACAAGTGTTTTTCTCCTTCTCTTAATCGCTATTTTGTGTCTGCCGATGTCACCTTCAATGAGTTTTCCTTTTACTTTAAGGACCCTTCCCTACCTGCTGAGTCTCCATCTGCTATAGTTCCCATTCCTGTTCTCATTGATCCTTATGTTGAGGACCATCCACCATTAGCCCCTCCTCCTCCACCACCCCTTCAGGTTTATAGTCGCAGACCTCGCCCACAACAGACGCCACATGACTCACTCCCAGTGCCAAATACTCTGCCTCCTCCGGTTCCGTCCACAAAGTCTGACCTTCCTATTGCCAATTGGTTTTATGTTGGAACCTTAACATGGTATCAGAGCCAAAGCCTAACATCTTTCCGGTTATTGTCATGGGCCAAAAGTTGTCCTTTAGTTGGGTCAAAAGTACCATTTGCCTGGTCCGGCAGGCTTCGTTGGAGGGGGTGTGTTGAAAGTCCCACATCGCCTACCTCATATCATTTGGTATGGTTTAAATACATGTTAGGCTACTCCACATATTGCCAATGTCAGATCCTGAACTAATATCTAATCATATCTAACAATAAGGATTATTCAAGTTTTATAACCTCTATCTCTAGTTCATCAGACAAAACACTCCCTTGAAATTGCAGTTAAGTTGGTCAAAGAGACCTTAATTAAAGTGGGCTAGCGGTAATTGTAATTAAAGCGGCTTTCCAATTGTAAGTCTTGTTGCAACATTATCTTTAGCTCCCGTACCTTATGGTCAGTTGCTTGTTGTGGAAACAGTCTTCTTGTTCACTGCATAAACAGTTGGATTTCTGTGCATCAACTCTTGCAGACCCTACATTGTGGGAGGCCACTCTATAGTCAGTAAAATGGTTTCTGTGAGGAACACTGAAATGTCAGATCTCATTTCGTTTCTAGATAATGATTTTTTGTTAATATGGAGATTAATGTCAGAGACTGTTTCTGTTCAAATAATTCTCTTAAATGGTTGGGCAATTATATGATAAATGAGTCTAGAGTTTGTGTCTGACTGTATATATTCTTTGTTGTAACAACATGAACTCCTTCATAAATTTGTCTAATTAAGTTGGAAGGAATGTGCTAATATTAACTTGAATTTGACTCTGTAAAGATATCAAAAAATCCCCATCATTTATCAGTTTGGTATTTAAAACTCTGAGCTGGTTCTTACCTACGACTCTGTGACATATCTTGAATATTATTAAGTTTAGTTCAGCGCAATGGTTGGTTGTAGCAAATGTTATGTATAAAACTATAAATTAGCTACCCTTCAGTGGTGTGACAAATTTCATGCATGTAATGTGCAGTGGTTAGTGTATTATTTATGTATACATATGTTTTTTTTGTTATCATGTTGAAGTTTATGGATGGTATCATTGCGAAGACTCCGTTCCCAAAAGAAATTGCCAAACTGACTTGTGGCAGTTTACATGATGTTGAAGCTAGCTTTTGCTTCATTTTGTTCTTATGCTTGAGTTCCACAAAAGTTGTAGACTGTGATGGTTGACCTTTTCATCTGGAGCTTATTAGACTTGGTTCTTTTACAGGTGTGTTTTTGTAGGAGATGTTGTGGTTTTGAAGGACCCTGAGAAGCCAGATAACTACCTTGTCAGAAGATTAACTGCGATTGAAGGTTATGAAATGGTTTCTACCGATGAAAACGATGAACCCTTTACTCTCGAGAAAGATCAGTGCTGGGTAGTGGCTGAAAACGAAAAATTGAAACCTAAGGTATACGTTTTGGATTAAAATACCATTTAATCAAGGAATGAGTTATCATTGATATTCAAGTAGTAGCATGTAAGGCGGTCGCGTGCTTGTTAAATTTTCTGAAATTTCCATGTAAAATTAATCGGATAACTTGATTGTTACAAAAAATAAATAAATTTAATTCAACAATTTGTTTGGTTAAACTAATTTTCTATGAGTTAGTAGATAATATAGCTCACCTCATCTAGATAAGACATTGGTTGTTTGTTGAGTCAGTAGATAGTGTAAGCCGACACTTACGCCCTTGTTAACCGATTTGACATTATTGACTGGATCCAGACATATTTTTCACTTAAACCCCTTTTTTTAAAGACATAATGGCCACAGCTTATCATGGCAATTCAGTTAAGTAACTTCTCATTCATGACTTTAATCATTTTTCTTGTAAAATTTGCTTATTCCTGAACAATAACCATGGTAGTAAGCTGAAGAAAAACAAAATCACCTCTATCAGACCAAATCATCTCTTGCTTATGATTAGTGCGAAACTCTCAATATTTTCTTTGTATAGTAAGTTTGAACCTCATATTCACTCCTTTTTATTTGACGTCGTAATTTTTTCCCTCCTCATTTGGTTTTAGAACACTATGAATTATTGATTGTTTAATGCTCCTAACCTAAACAACAGGAAGCGAATGATAGTCGAACATTTGGTCCAGTTCAGATGACAGACATTGTAGGCAGAGTCATATATTGCCTCCGAAGCGCCGTAGACCATGGCCGAGTACAAAACAGGTGAGTTTAATTTCTTAGGCTAATTAATTGGTATGTCCTTGAACATTTTAGAATTTTTTAATTAGGTCCTTATACTAAAAATTTGTAAATGGGTCCTTGATTTTTTATAATTTTGTAATTGAGTCCCTTGAGTTATTAAACTGATACAAATTGTTATTTTTCTAGTGGTTTGAAGCCATTTTAAATTAACTGCATGCGATGACAAAAAATTTACAAGATAAAGGACCTAACTATTATTTTATACTTTGGGGATCTAATTCAAAGAAATTCCCAGAAATTTAGGGACCTTCTGATGTACTGAACCTTAAATTTATCATGCTCAAAAAATGGGGGGTGCTCTTTTGAATTGATATATTTTACTCCTTTACTAGTTTTTTTGGCATGCGAAAGGATACACCAGTGTTGGAAGTGGAACTTGATGTTGATGAGATGGCAAAGAGTCACAAAGCCTGAGGTTTTGTGCCGGGAAGCACTAACTAGTTTACTTTATGCATGGCCTATTTTCTTGTGGATTTTCCTTGAAGCACACAGATGAAGAATAAAATAGATGATTTTCAAAATTGTTGCAATGGGATGGTGATGTTATGTGGTTATCATTTAATATGCATCTTAGGCTATTGTTTCGTTCTTCCCAACACAACCATGATTGTAAACTAAGTTCTATCAAGGAATCCTCTACCCTTTGTTCTATTCGTAAGTCATTGATTTGACTCCAAAATTGACCAAATTTCGGTCTGCTTGTTAAAGACCAAAAAAGGCTGCAAATTAGAAATCATGGTTTCAGATACTTCTTTATATTCGTTGTGTTCAATGACATGATAGAGTTGTGAAGTCCTTGTATCACCGGACTCACCCCAAGTGCACACTTACCATTTTTAATTTCAAGGGGATACTGTTTGATATCTGTTTTAACGTTCTTCTTTTCACACTCACTCAAAGTTATTTCCTTTTATTTTCCTCCTCTGCCCCCACTTTATGGTTAACGATGCATTCACAAACGTTCATTCTCCATTTGAGAACATCTATTGCTATAACGCATGCTCCAAATCTTTATGGTAATTGGTAGAATTCTTATGAAACCATAAAATACTTTTTTTATAGACACTTGTTCAGAGTAAGATGATTTTGTGTTCTATTTTCTTGTAAAAGTTTAGTAATTTTTAGCATTTTTTTAATTTAAATTATTAATTATTTTTCTTTAAAACGTTTTTTTCTCTTAATACATAGTTAATTGTGCTCTTGAAATAATTATTAAGTATTAATATTATTTTCTCAAGAAAAAGTGTTACTTATGCTTTCATTTGTATACTAAAGCCGTTATTTCTTTTATCAAATGTGAATGGATCTAATGTTTTATTTAAAGTGAAGATTATTATTTTGAGAGTAACTTATATTAATCAAATGTCATATATATTTGTCGCATCTCTTAAGAGGTAACATGTTTCCATTTTGTCTTAACAACGAATTCATGTTTATAAAACAATAGAAATACATATATATATATATATATATATATATATATATATATATATATATATATATATAATACCTTTTTTTTAAGTCATGATAAATGACATTAACTCCTCTCTAATTTTAAAATAAACATTCACCTCTCTTTAAGTTTTTAATAAAAAGGATAATTACATTCTTATAGGTTTTAGAACACATTAACCTTTGTCATATTTTTTTTAATAAAGTATTACCCACTTTTCTTAATTTATTTACAATATCATATACTAGCTAAAATTTAATTAAAATTCATTAAAATCACAATTTAATTAAAACTTTATCAATTTTACATTTTAAATTTTAAATTTTTAACTTTCAGAATTCTTTTTATTCAATCTTAGCCAATATCTTATTTGCATTAAAGATGAGTGATTATCACTTTATTAAAATAAGGGAGAATTAGAAGCCATGTGCTTGTCATGTTACTAAAAATGTTATACAATAAAACGTTATTCATAAAAATATGATTTTTATTTAGAAGATAATTCATATATTATCTATTACTTAGGTCACATATAATAACACAATAATGATTTGAAATAACATTAACAATAAAAATAAAATTTATTATAATAATTAAAATATTTTTATTTCCTTTCTTTCTTTCTTTTTCCTTTCATTCCATCTATTTGACAAATGGAGCATAAGTGTTTGTAGAATATCTTATTTCAACAAACTTTACTCTTTTGACAATTTACCAAAAACTTGGGTGAGTGAGGAAATAAAAAAGATGGTTGCGAAAACCAAAGGCCTCACAGAAAAGGTTGTGGATCCAGCCCACAAGTTTGGTTACCTGGAAGAGCGTTGGGCATGGAATGACCATTTTACCTCTAAAATATTACATATTTCCAGGAACATCCCTTATCAAACAAAAGTACCTACGAATCGCATGAAAAGTGGCATTGAGTGAGAGTTCCCTCTCATCTCCTCTGCTCTCAAAACCTCAAACAATGTCGCAAACGCTGCATCCTTTCCTCGCCCAAAACCTTGGTTAGTCTCTCTCTCTCACTGTAATCCCCTCTTCTTCTCTCAGACTTTATGATTCTTCCTTCTTAGTCATTACTGTAGAACACAACTAAAAATGAAAAAACCTTAGCCACGCTTAAATACTTCAGCTTCAAAACCCCGCTTCATTTTTTTAGCTTAAATTACAAATTAAACACTAGGGTTTTCAATACGTGTGTATAGTTGGGTAAACTCTGTTTCTTTTCCAGTGAAATTCTTAGCTTTATGAATTATGATAGAAAGATTCTTACCGTGTGTCTGTTCTGTTGTCTTTTTTTTTTTTTCTGTTCTGTTTTTTATAGTTTCTTAACCCCATCTTGTATGGTTTTAATTTTGTTTCTCATCTGTTGGCGTGATTATTAAGGCTTTTTGAGGCCTCATTGGAAAATGATATTTTGAGTTTGGGTTGATGATATAACGTTCTGTGTGTTTGTGATTTTGGAGCTGGCTTCTATTGCCCGCCATCTATTCGTTTAACGGTATGTGACATCTACAAGTGAAAACCTGCACCGAGATTTTCCTTGGTAATTGAGATGTTAATTATTGGCTACTAATGTTTTTCCTATGGTTAACCAACTAACAACATATGTTTAAAACAATGAACATAAACATTAACCAAATGGTAAATGACGAGAACTGACAAGTTACATATCAGTAACCATGAGTAGGTATAATATTAGTGCTTGTTTAAGCGCTGACTTGATGAGTGTGGGTGGTAAGCCATAGCAATCTTACACTACCATTATTAATGGAAGTGCACTTTTCTCTAATATAGGTTTTCTCTTTCTTTGCAACCACTTATTGTTTCTCTTTATTTTTTTGGGGGGTGGGGGATTGACTAGAAGAGCTTATATGGAGCTTATTTGTACTTATGAAAGTCATAGAGGTCAACATGACACTATAAAGGCAAAATATTGGAGTGGAGTGGCCCTCAGTTGCGATGGGATTCAAATAGTGGAGTAGTTTTCACTAGTGACCATTAAAACAGTGGTTTTCTAACGGTAAATTTTGATTTCTCCCCATTTTAATTGCATTTCTTGCTTCAGAAACATAATAGGATTTGAAACTCCTTTTCATTGACTATATCTCAAAAGGTTATATCTTATTTGAACTCTGTTCCTTAATACTTTACCGGATGCTTTTTCCCCTATGTTTTGTTCATTCTTCTTTCTTTAGATCTCCCAGTCAAATTATGCCAATTTTTATCTAATTTATGTTTCTTTAAATTGGTTTAACCATAATCTTTCACTTCTTGTCTTCTCTACTATGCTTTTATAGTCTGCTCAGTTTCATGGTGGGAATCATGAAAATTGATTTGACTGCCATCAAACATGATTTTATAAAATTTTATGTTTCGTTATTGTTAGGTATTTCTTTTAAGCATCAAAACCCTGCTTTGACTATAAGTTATAAAAAGTATCTTTTGCATAATTTATTTCCATAATTCTGGGAAACATGATTCTTAGAAATGAGTAAAATCTCCTTGGTTGGTCATAAATATTCTTCGAAATATTTGTATGTTTCTTAAGAATCAATGATTTTCCCATAACAGTAATTATTTATCGCCTTAAATGATCTATTAAGAGTAACATAATATTATCACTGCTTATAAACTTTTTTTCTAATTTTGGAAAAGTTAAATTCTCACTTCCCACAATGGGAACAATTTTGAGAGAAATGTATTTAAAAAAAATTCTGTAAGCAATGCTTCCTGATAATGTTATCTTTTTTTTTTATAAATAAACCAAACATGAGAGACAAACATTATAACTTCATATTCTTAGGAAACTAAAAGTTTTTCTTGTACCAAATACCTCTTAAGTGTTATAGCAACTTGCCTTCAAGATAAAAACATCCTAACATTAATCACATCACTTGAAAATCAATTTTAACCAACATCAAAAATATTAAATCAATTTTTCAACCCTTATCCAAACAGACTTTGCACCTAGATTGATGGTGATTGTGATGTAAACTATTACCTATAATACATCTGAATTTATGTACTTTTAATATTTGAATATATTCATTGTGTAAATTATTTAGTTCATATAATAATTTTATAAAATAGCTGCCATTTAGTTGTTGCTATAGTGTTCTCAAAGTTGGCTGCTACAGGCTGTTATCCAAGATTGATATGATGAAAGTAGCTTATAACACTAAGAAGCCTTTTTAGCTTGTTTTTATAAGCTTCTTGACATAGTTTATCAAAGTTAGCACTTTTTAGCTTATTTCGATTGATTTTATTGTCAAATTTTAAAATATAAGTTATCTTGTGATAAGAACTTATTGAAGTGCTTAATTAAGCTATTTACTCAGGCATACCCTTTGTTTATGCTATTTTTGCTCTTCGAATGGTCCTCTTTGTCTTGCAATGCATTTTGCAATGATTGATAGTTTTTATATTATATATCATTTTCTACCGTGATTTCAGCATCCATTAAGTGAAAGCCAATAATCAAAGTTCAGTAATTAAAATGTTAGTCTTTTGACGATGGGGAAGGGACTTATATTGTTGATGACACTTGGAGGGGCACTCAACAAACTCAAAGTTTGTCTTTTTTCTACCATGATTGACCCCATGTGGCTCTGCATGTTTTATCTGCAAGCTGCTTGTAGGATAGTGTTAACTCATAATGGTTGTGTTTTAGCATGATTAGTTTGTTTTTGGTTTGTTTTCTAGAGTTGGGCTCCTGTGACTGATTAGTCTTGACATCTATCTTTAATCCTTTTCTTTAACGTTTTCTGTTCTCATGCTGCTATCTCCATGGAGCTAAATTATTTTGGTGCTTTGAAGGATGTGGAATGGCAGAAGGCAAGTGTCTCCCATGTTCTGGTGTTTCTGGACGAACTGCTGCCGTATATCCTTACTCTTCTCCAGGTCATCACATAATTCATTCCCATGTCAAAGTTAGAGGACTAAAGTGTGGCTATCGAGGTGCATCTTTTGTATGTGAAGCAAAGAGAAACCCAGATTTCTCAAGGCAAAACAAGCACGGGCACTCCAGAGGCAGGAACAGGAACAATGATGGGAGAGATAGCTTTGAAAACTTTGATGATGATATGTTCTCTTTGAAAAATGGACCACCTGTGTCTCTTTCAACCTCAGGAAAATTCCAGGCCACTTCAGCCCCTGGTCCTAGAGAGAAAGAGATTGTAGAGCTATTCAGGAAGGTCCAGGCTCGGCTGCGTGAGAGGGCTGCATCCAAAGAAGAAAAGAAAGTTGAAACCTCCCGAGTGCAGAATAAAGAGAACAATACTGTAGATTCCCTCCTCAAACTGCTGAAGAAACACTCAGTTGAGCAAGTGAAGAGAAGTAGCGGAGGGGGCAGGGGTGATGATCTTACTTCAGATCAGTTGCAAGATGGTAACCAATACGATGGAGGACAAAACACCAAATTTTCTGATTTGGACAGTACTTCGAAGGAAAACACCAAATTTTCTGATTTGGACAGTACTCCCAAGGATGATCCCCAAGAGGGTCATGTCTCCTCTTCCACAGTAACTAGGCCCCGGTCAAGTTTCCAGAGAAGGTCTCCCGTTCCTCGTGTAAAATACGAGCCCGTCTCTAACAATGAGGATGGTGTGAATGTCTTGCCAGTAGGTAGTGAGGATGGAGAGGACAACGATGATCAGATAGAGTTGAAGCATGACGATGAACCACAGCCTGACTCTGAATCATATATTGATTCAAAGGATGAGTTGTTCTTCCCAAACATAGGGATAGCTGAATTGTCAGATGATGATGATTCTGAGCAAACCGATAATGATGAAAGTGTGGAGGAGCAGGTAGCAGTTCCACACGAAGATTTGAGTGCACTGAAGCTATCTGAATTGAGGGCACTTGCAAAGTCTCGAGGCCTGAAAGGGTTCTCAAAAATGAAGAAGAGTGACCTTTTGGAGTTGCTAACTGAGAGTTAATTCTGATGGAATGATATACGGAGAAGAAAAAGGGGACAAAACTACACATGCCATGATAAATTAGATTTTTGTTTTTCCTGTCTTTGACTACATTCTATCCGATGTTTCTTTGTGTTTTTTTATTTGTCACACTTCAATTTAATTCTTCCGAGTACTTGAGGATGAGGGTTTGTGGATTAGATTAATCATGTCATATCTTTACCCGAGGGTTTTTAAATTTGTAGTTATATTCACATGACTAGATCTTGTGGTCTTTTGGTTATCATGTGTTCGATACAGTGATATTTTTTTCAACTCTATAATTGTGCATTCATGATATTTTGTTGGATGCATGATGTAACAACCCTAAAAATTGTTATTATAATTATTAATTCGTAAAGTAGTAAACAAATAAATAACGACATCTATTTTACATTATATTATTGTAATTGTAATATAGATTGAAATTTCGGTTCACTTACTGAACCTCAAAATATAGTAACATAATTTATTTATATATTATACATGTAAAAGTAGCTCCTCGAAGCTATCCCACTGAACTATCCCTCGTTGTCCGAGTAGTCACATCTCCATCTCTCAACTCCCGATCTGCTCCAACATAAAAGTGATCATCGCGGTCCCATCCACATGGAAAAATAGGGGTAAGTATTACATCATTCGATATAATAAAACAGAGATATAGAAGTAATAATTATATATTATGATCAATTACGGAATTATCAACACACTAAGACACCTTCCGGAAGTATACCCTAACTATGCCCGAACTCAGAGGCTATCATCTGTGGGTACATTGTGATCGGTACCCGCAATACCATTCTGACCACCCTCCACACAGAGTAGGATTACTAGCGTCCTTCATCACTCATACTGGAGTACCCCTCCGAGCGCGTCACAGTCATCCCCCATCGACTTCTCACCACTTGATCTCTTAGTCTACCTGACCCGACCAATCGGTGAAGTATGGGGCCTCATTCAGAATCCTCTGACATAGTTATTACACTAATGTACTCTGTACCACCCCGGGTACCATTCAAACATAACAAAAATTATTCACATTTGTCGGATTCTGGACCACCTGTCCTCACAGCTCATTCGGGTCAATAAAAATAGGATTTGACTGATTCTGGCACCAACCCTTCGGCTCGATCTAGCCAATATATAACGTCTCGGGACCGATCTCGGGCATCGGCCCTCGAGCTCGACTCGACCCACACACGTCACAACACACTACTTTCATTCTCTCTCTCTCTTTATATATATATTTTTCTAAAATCAATCATTTCCGAAACTATTTCCGAAACTATTTTCGAAATCATTTTCAAAATCACTAAATTACTATTTTGCCCTTAATCTTTTCTTAAAATTCCATGTATGTCCCTAAATGACTATTTTACCCTTGGACATTTTTGAAAATTCCTTCCATGTCCCGAAAATGACTATTTTGCCCTTGGACATTTTCAAAAATTCCTTCCATGTCTTGAAAATGACTATTTTACCCTTGAACAATTTCAAAAATTCCATTTATGTCCCTAGGATGTAAAATGACTATTTTGCCCTTGAACATTTTCGAAAATTACATTTATGTCCCTAGGATGAAAAATGACTATTTTACCCTTGATCTTTTTAAAAAAATCCCCACCATATCCCTTTCTTCTTCTTTCGCCCAGTAACAGTGTCGAATTTTACAGATTTTGGCAGATTTTAAATTACTCAGTTTTAGACAACCAAACTAGTCCCAAATCGAAATTAAACATGAATTATATCTAATTTAAGTTGAAAACAACAATTTTACTATATAATTCATCCTTAATTTCAAGAATTTAATCAATATTTAAAACTTTGCAAAATATGAATAGTAATCACCTCCAGTACGCCATTTTCAAAATCCAGGTTTCAAATTTCTCAGTTTCAATCACCCAAATTAGTTCCAAATCAAAATTAAACCATAAACATGCTCAATTTAAGTTAAAAACAACAATTTTATTATATTGAATGAATTAAACTTCCCCTTACCTTGTATTGTATTTCTACCGAAGCTTTTCCACCTAATTCAAACTCTCTCCTGTTTCACCAGATCCTGCAGGAGTAGAGTATCGTTGCTTGAAATTTCGACAAAAGAAGAAGAAGGATGAGAGGAAAATTTTGATTCTCCTCCTCCCCCACTTCAGTATGCATATGTAAGAAAAAAATTTATTGTGCATGAGGAAAACTTCGTTATGAAGTTTTCTTGCACAGTAATATTAATATAATATTAAAATAAGGCATACGTCACAATCTCCCCTCCATAAAAATTTTCGTCCTCGAAAATGAACTTACTTGGAAATAGATATGGATAAGACTCTCGCATCTGATCCTCCATCTCCCAAGTGAAGTCTCCGGATTTCTGATCTCATACTACCTTCACCATTGAGATAGTTCTACCTCTAAGTTGCTTCAGCTGAGAATCCTCTATCCTTACTGGTCTCACATCAACGGAGAGATCGTCTCTAATATGCACATCGTCTGACTCCAGGACATGACTGGGGTCATGTACATATTTCCTCAACTGAGATACATGAAATACATTGTGCAGATTCGCCAAATGAGGTGGCAACGCTAACTGATATGCAACTGGACCAACCTTCTTCAAAATCTGATATGGGTCAATAAACTTGGGAGTCAACTTCTTAGATTTAATTGCCCTTCCTACTGCAGTAGTAGGTCTTATTCTCAAAAATACATGGTCTCCCCCCTCGAATTCCAAAGGCCTCCTCCTCTGGTCCGCATATGATTTTTGTTTAGTCATAGCGGCTCTCAGCTTCTCTTGTACCTCCCGGACCTTCTCTGTAGTTTGTTGGAGTAGCTCAGGTACGATCAACACTTTCTCCTCATCCTGATACCAACATAAAGGTGTTTGACACCTTCTCCCATAAAGAGCCTCATATGGTGTCATTCTGATACTGGCATGATAATTGTTATTATACGTGAACTCTATTAATGGAAGGATATCATCCCAACTTCCTAGATTATCCAACACACAAGACTTCAACAAGTCTTCTAGTGACTGGATGATCCTCTCTGACTGTCCATATGTCTGGGGGTGATAGGCTGAACTCAACCTAAGTCGGGTACCTAATGCCTCTTGTAAAGTCTGTCAGAATCTTGAAGTAAATCTAGGATCCCTATCCGAGATAATGCTAGATGGTACCCCATGTAATCGAACAATCTCGCGAATATATAGTTGTGTCAACTTAGCCATAGATATCCTCAGATTTACAGGGAGGAAATGTGCACTCTTCGTCAATCTGTCCACTATCACCCAAATCGAATCGTGCCCCCGAATTGTCCGTGGTAGATGGGTAACAAAATCCATGGTAATGTTATCCCACTTCCATTCAGGTATCTCCATTTGCTGTAGCATTCCTCCCGGCCTCTGGTGATCCACCTTTGCTTTCTGACAAGTCAAACAAGCAGCCACATACTCTGCAATATCTCTCCTCATACCAGACCACCAATAAGCCTTCTTCAGATCTTGATACATCTTAGTCATACCAGGGTGTAGACTCATACGACTTCGATAACCTTCATCTAGTATTGCTCTCTTCAATTCTTGGTCAACAGGAATACAAATCCTTCCTCTAAATCTTAGAATATTATCCTCACTCATCTTGTAGTCAATGGTCTGCTCGAATCCTAACTGATCCATAACACCTTTCAACGTCATATCACCATGTTGTCTATCTCTGATCATCTCGAGAAAATCATTAGTAATGGTAATGCTACCACAACTAATGCTAGTATCACGAAACTCTACATCTAGATGCAAATCCCTGAACTTCTCAAGTAATCTCAATTCATCCATTATCATTACTGACATCTGAACTGCCTTCCTACTCAAGGCGTCAGCCACCACATTCGCCTTTCCTGGATGATAAAGTAACTGAAAGTCATAATCCTTCAGAAACTTCATCCATCTTCTTTGTCTCATATTTAGCTCCTTCTGATCGAATAAATATTTCAGACTCTTGTGATCACTAAAAACTTCAAATCTAACTCCATAAAGGTAATGTCTCCACATCTTGAGAGCAAACACCACTGCTGCTAGTTCTAAGTCATGAATGGGATAATTTCTCTCATGAATTCTAAGTTGTCTCGACGCATATGTCACCGCCCTTTTATCTTGCATCAAGACACAACCTAACCCCTGAATAGAAACATCACAATATACCTGAAAAGATTGAGTCACATCTGGGATCACCAACACTGAGAAACTAGACAACCTTCTTTTCAACTCCTGGAAACTCTCCTCACATCTATCTGTCCAAGCAAAAGGTTGATCTTTATGGGTCAACTGTGTCAAAGGAGCTGCTATTTTAGAGAAACCCTCTATAAATTTCCGGTAATATCCTGCAAGTCCCACAAAGTTACACACTTCCGTCACTGTCTTAGGGGGTTCCCATTTTAACACTGCATCTACCTTGGTAGGATCTACAGATATTCCTTCTGCCGATATTACATGTCCCAAAAACTGCACCTGTTCTAACCAAAACTCACATTTTGAAAGTTTGGCATACAATTGTTTCTCTCTTAACACAGCCAACACCGCCCTCAGATATTCCTGGTGTTTTTCTCGAGTTCTAGAATAAATAAGAATGTCGTCTATAAAAACAACAACAAACTTATCTAAATAAGGACGGAAGATCCTGTTCATATAGTCCATAAATACTGTAGGTGCATTTGTTACTCCAAACGGCATGACCACATATTCATAATGGTCATATCTCGACCTGAACGTCGTCTTTTGTACATCATCTTCTTTAACCAGTATCTGATGGTATCCAGATCTCAAATCAATCTTAGAAAAGATTGATGCTCCCTGTAACTGGTCTAATAAATCATCAATCCTCGGCAACGGGTACTTGTTCTTGATAGTCACCTTGTTTAGTTGCCGGTAATCAATACACAACCTGGAGCTCCCATCTTTCTTCTTTACTAGCAATACAGGAGCGCCCCAGGGA